AAATTGCCAATTATTTCATGTAAAATAATGATTTTCTTTCAAAAATTGGTTTTAAGCTATGGATTCTGCTCCCTTTTGATAGCTCATAAGCTATTTTTCAGCATTTAAGCAGAAGGTTCAAGCTGGCTACAATCTATTAGAATATATTTTATTTTGGTTTTAAAATTGCACATGTAAAATTACTTTCTGTTACTATAAAATTGAATTTAATGTTACATAAATCTTGGTGGTGTTTTAATTAAAAAAAGCTTGATTTCCTTTATTTTATTACTTTTTAAATATGTAAGTATAATTTACCCAGATTATTGTTAAAATGTCTCAAATATGTTTTTTTCAAGCAGTTTATAAGGTATGGATAATATTACTGGTGATGTCAACAATTCTGTATTTTGATTCTCATCTTTTTCTCCATTAAAAGGCCCAGAAAATAAGCTCAGAAATAATAAGAAATTTGAAGCAGTTAAAATTTCCTATTACAGCCATATTAGCCAAAAAGAACTGCACTTGACCTGTGTGTGTGTGTGTGTGTGTGTGTGTGTGTGTGTGTGTGTGTGTTTGTTTTATGGTTAATGCTTTGGGGTATAATATGGATTTTATTTTACTATTGAGAAAATTCTTACTAGCTTCTAATACCTAATTTCCATTTATCTCCCTAGAATATCCACATGACGTATTTTTATATTCTTACTTTCTTACTACTGATACTGTAATTTTATTGTAGTTTTGATAAATCTATTCTAAAAAGGTGGGGGGGGATCAAGTACAGTAAACTAATAAGGCCAGCACACAGTAGGCACTCAATAAATCCTGTTAGTGGACATAATATTTAACTGTACATTTTGCCCAGTGAGAAATCAGAGGATACATAAAATACAAGTATCAAAATGCATTTTGATGTTTCCATGCAGGGAAACACTTTTCTGACCATATATGAGTGAATATCTATCAGGCAATTTGAGCCATCTACCAATCCATCTATATTTCTATCTCCATATACATATGCAATAAGTTTGTTTTATACATTTAGGGAGAGGGGAAGCCAATAGCTCTGGTTCAAGTAGAGTCATTTTATGATGCTAACAGTGATAATTAGTAATGTTAGCATTTGTCAGCAAGTGAGGGAGTCTCCACTAGCACATGTTGATACTGAAAAAGAACCCAAGCACGGGTGTCGACGTGCAAGAGGGTTGCCATAATTTTTCTTCAGATGCCACTATGTTTGTAGCACAAGGAGTCAGTTAAGAACATTATGATTTTCAAAAGGAATTACTTCATAATTATATTATTGTCTTGGTCACTAGCAAAGTCAAAGTTGAATAAAGTAAAACAGTATGGCTAAAAAGAACTGAATTAATAAACTGCTTAATTTTGCCCACTTTCAAAAATTTGAACCAGACCATCAAATGAGATCACTTCTTTCCAACCCATACCTCATCCCCATGAATGTATTATAAAGTTAGTTAATTAAGTGGGATACACAAGGGAGAACTTAATAATAAAGCTGACATTACAATAATTCAGGCACTACTTGAGAAACAAAAGCTATAAAAATTTAAACAAGAGCCAGGAGGATATGAAGAGAAAAAGATGGATACCATCAATTAGGATTCACATCATCACATTCTTGAATTTATGGGAAACCTACCCATATGCTACTATAGCATTATTCATTGAAATTCTCTCCAGGGTATAAACAGCAGGCTTTGGAAATGCTATTTAAAGCTAACCAGTTTCTTTTTTTTTTTTTTTTTTAAACGATCCTTTAAAGGATTTTCCCTTAGACTGTAAATTGACTTAGGAGCTCTTCCGTGTTCTCAAACATCAAGTTTAGACACATACATTATTTTCAGGTTCTTCTCAGACATTTTATATCTTCAAGGTTTTAATCAAAGTCATTTTCACAGCATTCATGAATCAGTAATTCAGAACAGTTTCCACCCTCTTCTGCTGCCACTGTCAGATAGTTCTAGGGTTCTAACCTTGTACCACCACTCACTAGGTATCCGATTCTGGTAAAGCTGTTTAAGTTTCTAAAATGAAGCGTAATCTTGTCAGAAGTAAATGAGTTAGTATGTGTAAATTGCTCAGCATAGAATCTTGCACATATTCCTACTCATATTAATCCAGGATTCAAATTCATCAATGGATCCTGAATATTTTCTGGATACATGCAGACACTCTTAATACGGCTAAAAAGCGCTCTTGGTTGGGCCCGTGTAACCCTCTACCTTCATCCAGCACCATGTTATCATTTGTATCTCCTCACCGCAGCCGCACCAAATTATTTGTTCTTTAAATATCCTACGTTGTCAGAGGCCGCTGTGCTTTCGCTGTTCCATGACTACTCTTCTTTCGAGAAAGAGCTCCAGCCTCTCACCGTCCAGAAGCCTTTCACCACCCATCTGTGCTGAAATAGTCTTTACTATGCTGTCACCAAACCTTTTGTGTATCTTTATGATAGTACATGTCACTCATCTTGTATTTTTTATTTAAATTTTTATTTTCCTCCCACAAATATAGACTGAAACTTGTTTGAAGGCGAAGGCTGTTAGCTCTTATTTTTTATCTCCAGAGCCTGATAAGAATATGGCACAAATTACATGTCCTATACATGTTGGTTAAATGAGTGAATTATACTGAGTAACTTGTGAGTATGAGGCCTTTCTGCTAAGGAAGGACCTTTTCTTCTACATAACATCTGAAGAAACTGTCCTGAAAGTACAGTGAGTCGAAATCTAAAGTTAAACCAAATCAAACTGTTAATATTTAAATCAGATTTTTTTTTTTAGTATTACACTAGATGACCTTCTTTAGAAGCCCCAAATGAACACAAATGACTTATTTAGATTTAGCTCTACGCATTTATCTGAGAGTGCATTTCTAACTTAAAAATGCAATACTCAACAGTATCGTCCTTTAAAAGTTAGGTGAATTTTTTAAATCTGTGACAAAAAGCAAGATAATTGCAAAGGCTATTAACTTTTCCAGGCTGTGCAAAGAAACGCAGCCTACATAAGACAATGATTCGACTGTCTTGTACCAAACTTTCCTTGGACTGTATCCTTAGCTTTATAGCTGGACTAAGGTTTGACAAGTGGGCAGGGAAAAAAACAGAGAAAAAAAACAAAACAGGGACAAATCTTTTGATATTTTTATATGGCTCTTATTGTGGATCTATGTTTTGTGATCATTATACTCTTCCCAATAATTTACTCTCTGGTTTAAAAAGTCCATAGTCTCCAGCAGGATTTGAAATGCTGTTACTGATATAAACACTCAGGTCACAACTATTCTTTTTATTAATTAGTTTACTCATTCTCCCTAAGCTGGGTTCCTTCTTATTAAATACATTAGCACTTCCCCCTTTTTAGTTAGATATAATTGTAACAAAGAAGATCTTATGTGTGAATACTGTTCATCAGAACAACAGCAAAATATTCCTAAAATATTCAGAAAAACAACAGCAAAATATTCCTTCTGTCATAGAATCTGAAACCCAAGTAGCTTCTTTTTAAGGGAGTGAAAAACTGAGAAACTACGGCCTATTTCATGGTCTTAGAAAAAACACTTCATAATAATACAATGATAAGATTTAGTAGGAGGGTGGAATAGCTAACAGCATAGGCCTTTGAATAAAACACTCTTCCATTTCAAATTTTAGCTTAGCTTCTTACCAGCTACTTAAAATCGGGTAAATTTGTTAAACTCCTTTAGGAGTCTATTTTTTTATAGGTTAAATAACAAAAAAATACTTGTCTCATTGGATGTTGAAAGGTTTGAATGGAACAATTCCATGTAAAATATTTCGTATCATTTCAAGCACTTTTTTAGGGCCTCAATAAATGCTAGCTATTATTATTATCCATAAGGAATTACTATAATAAATTTACTTTTAATGAATTATTATACTAATACAGTATTTTAACAATGAGGGAAACATTTTTATTATATATTTGGACACTTTTTCATAAAGATGTATGGCAAAAGCAATCCCTTCTTTTCTTACAAAGAGAGCAGTAAGATGGATTTCTTTCTTTTTCTTTTCTTTTTTTTTTTTTTTTTTTTTTTTTTTTTTTTTTTTTTTTTTTGAGAAAGAGTCTTTCTCTGTCGCCAGGCGCCAGGCTGGAGTGCAGTGGTGCACTCGGCTCACTGCAACCCCCGTCTCCCAGGTTCAAGCGATTCTCCTGCCTCTGCCTTCTGAGCAGCTGGGACTACAGGTGTGCACCACCACAGCTAATTTTTGTATTTTTTAGTAGAGACGGGGGTTTCACCATGTTGGCCAGGATGGTCTCGATCTCTTGACGTTGTGATCCGCCCACCTCAGCCTCCGAAAGTGCTGGGGTTATAGGCGTGAGCCACCGTGCCTGGCCGTAAGATGGATTTCTAAGGCCAAAAAGAGTTCAGTGGTAAAGCTGGATTTAGAATGAATAAAAGAACTCAAAGCTGATGTTAGGTGACATTGAAACATCACTCTCTTCATCTCCCATTTCGGTTTTCAGCATGTTGAGGCTCTGGAATTAATGTGGGTTTCTGATTAAGCCCATGCATCTGTATTTAAACTTACAATGCATATGTCAGTAGTGTTCATCTCCTGACCACTGTTTTTATTGACCTGACATAACAGGCCAAAGCTTCATCATTTTAAACTAATTGTAAAATCATTTGTTCACGGTTTTATTCTCTTCCAAGTTTTCATTCAAATCATATGATGACGCCAGGACTCATGAACAATTAGGCTAATTCCAGCCACAGAGACTCTGTGTAATAGCCTAAAGGGCCACATTTGGCCACATTACCATTGTGGTAGAGTAAGGCATTTCACGAAAGCATTTAATGCGAGTACCAAAACATTAACTGAAATGACTGTATGAGTATTGACATGAACAAAATCTCATCTGAAAAAGCTATTAAAAACTTGGGACACGTGGTTTTAAAATATCAGGTCAAATTAGAAGGATACTAAATTCACATCTTACGTGATATCCTTGTATGAAACTTACTTTCATCTCCTGTTTCATATTCAAATTTCTGACTGTAGCCACTGTATCCTGTCGCGGTTCTCAGGCGGATGTGAAATACGTACTTGGTGGCTGGCTTAAGACCTGTGATGATGACACTGGGGGCCTTGGACCTTGTGGAAGAGTAGGTCAGCTGCTCATGTTCCTGGGGGGACAGAAAAAGGAGAAAAAAAAGAAATAGAATTATTCTCCGTTTCCCTAGAAACATTCCAAAGTTTAACTGAGGAATTTTGCTCTGAATAGAAAAAGTACTGATCACAAAGAAGTGTAAGCATGGTTTTCCATAATTTGGCATTTACTTATCATTATGATGCATATGATATGGTCCTATTTGGAAATTTATTAAGAAAGATGATTAATCTTATATAAACTGCGCTTGTATTTTTGGTGATTTAGATTCCTGACCCAACCCTAAGAAACGGTGGTGGTGTGAGCACGTGTTTACACAGAATGCCAGCTGCACCTTGAGTAAAATGGGCACATCGGATCAGACCACACCAGCAGACTGCAAGGAGCACAGGTGGGAGAATTCAAGTACCCGCTACTCACTTCTACCCGCCGGTAGTGCCAAAATGCCGGCGCTATCCGTGGGTAGACCTGCAGGTGAAAGGAGAAACACATTAATTGTTTTTTAAAGTTTGAAATCTTTTATCCTGAAGTCAATTACTTCGTGCTGTAACTCAGTGATTCCCCAGCAGTGAAACATGAAGTTCAGTTAAATTTAGGAAACGAAACGATGAATTTTTTCCCATAAGGGAGAATTGACTCCTCCCCTAGACATTATAGTTTATTTTTAAACATACACTAGTCACATAGTGATTATGAGGTAGATTTAAAAATAAGGTGCCCATGAAGAAGCACTGGAGACACAGAAAGGCATGAAAGACTTACCACACCTGCAGGATCAGAGGCAGGGGTTCAGGCCTGCTTCTCAGTCTCTTGCGTGAATTGCCAAATTATCTCACTTTACTAAATGGAAGTGAACTTGCCAGGGCATTCTGGATGATCCAGGCAGTCAGGGTGTGTCACATGGTGCCTCTTGCTCGCTACCTCAGAACAGGACAGTTCATTTTACCTGTCCATATAAGAGATTGTCCACTATGTGCCGTGCTGGGGACAAATTAAACCCATACTCTTTTTGTATGGTGTAATAGTCAATAACTTTACGATGATATTTTAATAGGGTATCTGAAAAAATGCATTTGTATAAACAAAAGTTACAGGACAAGCTAGGTTAACAGGTCCTCAAGTTAATTTCCACCATTCTTATAAGAAATCTAGAGATTTTCAGTGATGAAAAGTGACTTTCAAAGTCACCAGTTGAATCACTCATTTGATGCTTCAATTCTATCTATAACATTCCCCTCAAAATTTCATTTGGTGTTTGCCTGAAAACCACTTTTATTTAGGAGACCTTCCTGGCTAACAAGCCAAATTCTGAAAATGTACACATATGGTGAATATGTCACACTTCATGTATTTGCTGGTGATGCTTTAAGATTTCAAACTATGAAAATCATTTCTCTTAGGCTACTTTTCAGAAAAAAGGTCTTATCTTAAGGATCATTTTTAAACTTTATGATCTTACTTGTCAGAATTTTATATGATCTCTGGTTATTCTGTGCCAAGCTACAGAATTGAATTTGCCATTTATACCCCAAACAATTAAACTGTTTATTAAACATAAAGTACAAAGAAAAAAATGAGTTAAGAATAGCAACATTTTAAATAAAAACAAAAGCCAAAAAACTGCAACTTATATTTATCTCTAGGTGATTTTAAGATTAGAAAGTAAATAAATATTTATCAACCTAGCATAAAATACAAGGAAATAAAGTCTATAAATCGCCAATGGCTACAATAATCCGTTAGGGGTTAAATTCAAGAGCTTGCTGATATCGAGGCCTTTATAGTTAGGTGGTTAAAATGCGTATTGTGGAGAAAAAAACATTTGTGAGCTATTAGGAAAAAAGATGTTGTTTCTGGCAGGAATTTCTAGAACATTTGGATTTTTCAATCTCATCATATACAAGAGGAGAATATGCTACTTTTCATAGAATTTCTACAACATAAGAATTATGATGTATTTTGAACGCTGTTTCACAATGTGAAATGATGACTGCCAGAAGAACTTTAAAGCAATGAAAAACAGCATTTAGTCTCATTCCAAAAGAGAGAAGATACGGTTCAAAAGTTTACTCATAGAATGGCCCCAGGATAATTACACACATATCCTGGCTGCTTCCTCAAAATATAGCTAAACAGTGATTTCCTACTCAGTAAAGTAGATTTTTGTGGTCACCTACAAAAGTGTACCTGTAGCTAAATCCTTGTAATAAAAATTCAACAGTAGGAAGTGCACTTAAAAGGTTCTTCAGCCCGAATCACTCGCCACGGGTGAGTGCTGCTGCCTTGTCTTACGTCTTGGGGCTTGCTGGCATGATGAGGGAGAGGGCCCAGGAGGAAGCAGTCGTGAGAATTCCTCACAGTACACAACAGACTCCTCTCCTCCTGGTGTTTGTAAGCTCCTGGGAAACCAAGTTAGCTTTCATCTATGATATGCGTAGGTAGGACACTATTGTCCCAGAAGTCTGGCCAGTTCCCTTTCTGCTGACATATCAACTCCAATTCAAAGGTGCTGTCACCAGGTAGAGACCAGGGTTTGCCACAGAGCCATGGAGGTTTTTTCTTCATCCTGGCAGGCTGAATTCTGAGTCTGTCTGGATAGGGTACGTTAGCATGCTTTTCTGGAGTTTGTACTGCAATGGCTTTGCTAGCCGTATGACCTGTAAATCTTCAGTTTTGCTAGGTAACACATTCCATTGCTCATAAAGTTCTGTTTTTCATCTTTGTTGAATCTGTGATTAAATTCCTCTGCTCATTTTTAATATTGTTTATTTTGTAATTTCTTTTTTTCAAGATCAAGCTTTCCAGAGGTTTGAACAAATTTTTGGCTTCTCCCTCTTTTTTTAATCTATTATATTTAATATCTGTTCTTACTATAAATGTTCTTTCTGCTTTCCACTTTCCTTGTGTTAGTTTTGTTCTTTTCTAACTTCTTACGTTTCATGCTTAACTCCTTCTCAGCACATTGTTTCAAATCGATTATTTAAGGGTACAAATTTCACGCTAAGTGCTGCCATACTTATACTTCATACATTTTCATATGCTTTGTTAATCAGTTCTAAGTACTTATTAATATCCAAAAAATATGATTAAAAATTATTTGTGGCAGATCCAGTACTATTACTTGGAAATTTTTATGGGTTAAGACGTGATATCAAAGTGGCATAAAGAGAACCTCCAAAGGCATAGTCCCATGGGCTGCAAAGCGCCCTGAACCGTGAACAGTGCAGTGGGTGCTCACTGGCTGAGGGCACTGTCAATCTTGTGCACTAACACTTGTTGGCTGAAAGTGAAACAGCTTGTCACACGACCTCTCCTTGGCTGAGCACAGAAAATTGCACTAATTGTGGAAAATGTCATTGTGGAGAAATGAACTTTAACATATTTTTAATTACATCATTTTCTAAAATAAAATATATGTATAATTCCTGTTTGACATATTTGTATCCAAATTAAAAAAAAAATAGTTCTGAACCAAATAGTGTGAACATAGAGCACGGTCAAACAGGGCAGGCAGATACTGTTCACTAGAGAAGTTAACTTCCACTTACGGTTCTCTTCCCATGGGAAGATCCTGGCGCTTGCCCTAGGCACTGCTCCTTCCAAGATGCTGAGAATCAAGGCGTTTATGGGAATCTTATTGTCACACTGAACCTTTCATTTACCTGAAATACTGATCTTAGCTTTATCTCCACAGGTGTCAACTTTGCATGATAACTAAAAGGGATCCTTTTACTAGAGTCTGGAACTCATTAGCATTCAATCTAAAAACTAAGTGAAAAGAAATCGGCTCAGGTGTTTAGACCTGTGGCTATGTCTTTCTACAGTCAGAGATAACAGGGCCTGTATCAATAGAATACAGCATGGAGAGAATTCTACGTTTGAGTTCTCCTGTCTTGAACATTATCTTGATTCTGCTTCCATTATGTACCTTGTCAAATTACCTTCAAGGTTTTGATTTACTCCTCTAGAAGACTCATTCATTCTACAGACATTCATTGAATCTCATGGTATGTACAAGGATCTAGGGCACTCCGTTAGGTGTAGCTTATGTAATCACCAAAGTTCTACCCAGCAATTCAATTCTATCATTTTTTTTTTCCCATTTATTTATTTTATTATATTTTAGGTTTTGGGGTACATGTGAAGAACATGCAAAATTGTTGCATAGGAACACACATGGCAGTGTGATTTGCTGCCTTCCTCCCCATCACCTACATGTGGCATTTCTCCCCCTGCTATCCCCCCCAGCTCCCCACCCCCCACCGTCCCTCCCCTAT